GGTTTTAATTACATGTTTACATTTAAAGGTGCTTGTACATGGGAATATAATGTTAATGTTTTGTAGTTACAGTAACACATGGAAAAGGGCTGGTTTAACAGATTTGAGGGTAGCTACTGTGACACTAATTATTCCCAACCCCAACTTCTTCATTTCAGAGCTACAGTGCTGAATTCCTGCTACTGATAATTGAGAGTTTGTATTTATGTCCTGAGAAAGGTTTATTTTTTTCTTTTTCTTTTCACAGGACCTAGATGATATAGAAGATGAAAATGAACAATTGAAGCAAGAAAATAAAACCCTCTTAAAAGTTGTTGGACAGCTGACAAGGTAGAAGATTCAAGCCTCAATGAGGAAAGATTTAAAAACTACTGATTGAACATTAAGGTCAATATAGTAATACTTCCTGTGTTGCAGTATGTTGTAATAACTGTCTTTATATTTATTGTTAGGAAACAAGATGAATGTTTATTTTCATAGTACTTTCTTCTTCATTCAATTAAATGACATAAAATTTGTGGTATATTTTCAGCTTTCTTTTCACATAAGAACAGTTAAAATTTTTTACATATTTCAAAATATTAAGTTCAAAAACATTTGGGTTTTATATCTTCAGATTACATCTGGATAAACTGCAGTAATTTAAAATTCATAGCACCAAGATCACTTTCAGTCCATGTGGGTGTATATTTTTGAAATGAATGGAAGCAATACATATAAGCTTTGTTTACACAGATCCAAAATATATATTTTGGGAAATTTTTCCTTTTTTTTTTTTTTTTTTTTTTTTTTAACAGCTGTAAAGTGGATGTCTTATTACTGATGTATAACATTTTGCAGATTGATTACTTTCTCTAAAACTCCTGTATGTTGTGGGTTTTTTTACAGTATCTGAAAGACTGATAATAGTAGAATAGCAATTTTTTTTTTCGGTATTCTGTAAGGAGGGGGAGGTTGTATTAAAAAAAAAAAAAACAAACAACAAAAAACAAAAACAACAAAAAAACCACAACAAAAAACCCCCCACCAATAAATCACCTGTGGTATAGCAGGTGAGTTCTTAGAATCATATTGAAGTTGTGCACTGCAGTTTACTTTAAAGCTTTTGCTTTAGCAATGAAAAGCAAATTTGCTATCAGACAGTAAGTTTGTTTGCTGTGTTGAGAATTCAGACAAAGCCTGGAGCTTTCATTTTAGCAAAGACGCTGTTACAATACTCTTCTAGTTAAAGCTGTCTTCTTAAAATTTGCAGTGATCATAACCAATATGAGTTTTTTTGATGTTTTCATTTTTTAAGCTGGGTGAAAATTTTTGTACATAACAAAGTAGAGAGGCATACAAGTGATTCGTGCCCTTTTGAAGTATCAAATGGTTTAAAAAGAACTTTTATCCTTGATTTTAAACTAACAACGTGTTTAAAAAGTGCCTGTTTAGACGTTACAATCCAGTTATGGACAATCCAGTTACTGATTCTTCTATAACAGGATAGTAGGCAAAATTTTCATTTTACGTTAACCACAGACCTCAGTTAACAATTCTCTTCCTGACATTCTTGTTAGGCTGAAATTTATGTACTTCATCTTAATACAGCACATTTTTCATTCCTGATCAGAATAAATGTATATGTCATTTGAGTCAAGAGACTAGAAATGAAAACATTTTGAAGAGTCCAGGCTTTTTCCTGATGATTTTGAAGTTTGGTGGCAGCAAGTTGCATGCATATAGTTTTTGTTTCCTTAAAACTTAAAGGCAACTTTAATGTATAATAACGATCATCTTTTCAGATTTGCCAGTTCTTTTCATAATGTGTATTTAATGACTGTAAGAGTTTTTTAAATTTCAAATCCAGATATTACTGTTACACATTGGATTGCTTTGGATATAGGATAGGTTATTTTGCATTTGTGTATTCCAATGAGGAGGAACTATTCAAAGCTTTAAAGTATTTTTCAAGACACTTCTGTTCCAGGATGCCTTGATGTTTTCCTTCACTGTGGGTGGGATCCCGTGGGACACCTTTTGAAACCTTTACTCAGGGGTTTAAATGCTATGAGGAGTTTGTATAAGCCCTCTAAACTACGATATATGCCAATTAATATTGCTTTTAATATTATTCAAACAGTAAGAAGTCCCTTAATTTATCAGTTTAATGAAATTAAAAATGTAAAGTAATAAAAAATTCAGTTGAGATGTATGCCTTCTGAATAAATATGAAACTTTCTCTGGAAGAACATCTGATTTCCTTCTCTGTGTACTAGGTAGGAAATATGAATATCGATTTATGGTATGGGATGTTAAACATATTGAGGCATCATTAAGGAGTTAATGCAGAACACACAGATATTAATACAGAGTTGTAAATGAGATGTTTCATAAACTGTATTTCACATATGTTATAAACCAAAGAACGACAGCAAAGAACATAAGCAAGAATTACTTGTTGTCGTGTTACCTCTTCTTGGTTTACTTGGGTATTGGCTAAAACTTAGTAGCAGAAACCCCCAAATTAGGATTTCTTTTTTAACCTGGACATCTATCTGACAGGAATATTTGGCAGAAGTGCTTCTGATACCTTAGCTTGAGGAAGTACTGGCAAAGAAAGTTTCCAAATATTTGAAAGCAGTAATGCTTCAGGCAGAACACGTGAACAAAAGAACTGTTTGAATTCAGATAAAGTACCTCAGGACATTCTTGTTGCTGTGTATTATTGTACAAATGTAAAACTCTTAATGATTTTAAAAATTCCCACAAATTGTATCTTGAAGCCTAACACTTGTGCTGACATTTTGGAAGATTTAGATGGCTTTTTGGAAAAAAGCATGTCAATAACAATTCATTATCACTTACTTTATCAGGCTCTTGGGAGAAGTTTAGTAGACTGTAGGAAAAATGATATATTAATGTAGAATGTTAATAATTGTCTAATCAGTAGTTGCCAGTACCTTCTTATTTCAGTAGGATACCCATATAGTCAAGCTCAAACACAGAATAAGTGTTTATCCTAGATGATTTGAAGGTGTTAAATTAGCTACCTTACCAGTAATTCACTAACCCATGTCTGTGTCCTCACCAGTCCAAGACCTTGATTGTTCACAATTTTGTAATTTAAAAGCAGAGGGACTGCTGTAAGTGGGAACCCACCTCACTTTGGAAGGCTATACGATTCCTGAATGAATCTGGGTATTAATGTACTTAGGCTTAATTAATTTAAAAGGGCTTTTTTGGGGGGTCGGGAGGGTATGAGAGGGTGTTAGTATGTAATAGTAACTATATTGTTAAGTCTCTTGGAGATTTCTGAACTTTCATGTGTTAAAATTCATACCAAACTGCTTAGGTCAAGCATCTGTGTTTCTGGGTAATGTGGGTCATCTAGGAAATCTAAGCAGAAAAGTATTCCCACTGACTAAACAAATAAGACTTTTTTTTTTAATACTTTAAAAATGAACAGCACATAATGCCTGTTTTGATAATGCAAAATGATACTTCTGTTATGATCACATACTGTTGTGTAGAAAACAGATACTACATCCAGAGTTGAAGGTTAAAGTTGTGCAGAAATATTTTTATCATTGATAATATGAACCAATGTTTGTAGTATTTATTCCCTAAAGAGGATTTCAACCATATATGAATGTTGGTGATTTTTACAAGGAAATTCAAAATGACTCAATTTTTTTTCATTTTAAAAATAATAGCCATGTTTAAGTTCAGTGTTACTTGACATGTATATTAACTGAGAGAGTACAGCCTGTATTTGCAAATGAGTGTTCTTTTCTTCTTTAAAGTAAAATTTTTCTTTGTTAATTACTGGATTTGTATTTACACATTCAGAGAGGGATATGTTAGATTGGCTCTGAATTTGAGAGGTAGAGTAAGAAAAGAGGGTAACAAGGAATGAATCAGTGGCTTTGAATGCTGGAAATATAACCTAATGATTTTTTTTTTTTTTTTTTTTTTTGATTCAGCTGTACTGAGAACTAGCTGTGGAAAGATTTGTGATTGGCATAAGCACTACAAAAGATAGGGGTTTTAGTATGTTGGAAACAACTGATTAACCTACATCAAAGCTCTTTTCAACTTGTCTGGTATCATTACATCTTGGAAATTTGCTACCATAAGAGAGACCAACAGGAATACTGAAGATAAAATTATTTTTTAGCATTTGGCTAGGAGAGCAGAGTTACACTGACTCCAGCTATTTTATGGTTTACTGTAAGTTCTTTGTGGGTACTTCCAGCTTGAGTTGAAACAAATCAGTATTAGTAGCCAAGAGGAAAGGTAATTATTTGGAAACAAATACGTGAGTAATAACTATGGATAGCATTAACATATTGCCTGAGTGTCAGTATTTCTTGGGCTCAGACCCTTTATGAAGATGTCAGTTGAGTCAGTCCGTTTACTTCAGTATTAATGATCATAAACATCTGGCATTTTTAATTAGAAACAACTATTTGAGTTGGAGAAATTACCATTGCAAGCCATAACTTTAAAACTTAGTACAATTTAAAAAAATCATGCTGGTACTTGTATCTGCTGGGACTAGGAGCTAAGGATTATACTTAAAGGTTTTGTTAAAAATGAAACAAATTAATTCTGGATCTTGTAATTTTAATTTGATATAGCAGTTCACTGCAGATCTGTTCCAAGCCAGTCATTCTGATGTCAATATCTGCAAAAGTTGTTGACACCAGCATTTCTGCTTCTGTTATTAAGCATTTCTTTAGGACTACGTAAATATATCCAGGACAAAAAGGACTTTGATATGTATTTTAATAGCATTAATGATCTTCCAAGTATTTTGACTCACTGTAGCAAATCTCAGTCTACCATTTCTCCTTGTACTGTAGCAGATGTACATTACCTTGTTAATTTAATCCCTTTGCTTTTATTTCTGGATTTCTGGTGTAACTGTTCTTGTTCAGGGCTAACTGTGATTTTTCTGTTCTGGAAAAATTGTGATAGTTGAGTTTTCCTCTGAAAATAGTCTCATAATTATAATGCAAAGTCATTTTTTTTAAAATATCCATTTTATGCATTTTAAAAATTGAAGCATCATTGAGCTATAAATAACTAAATAATATCCGTTTTAGTTTTGAACATGGACTAGTTGTGATAGTATTTGTGATATCAGATTAAAAATTATGTTCAAATTCTTACTGTTGCAGGTAGAAGACGAGTGTTTAATCCAGCAATAAAGACTGTGTGCCTTTGTCCAAATAAAATTAAATTCTTTTTAATCCAGGCTGACTACTTATTGTGTTTAAAGAAGAATTAATATTGTCTGACTAAAATTCTAACTGGATTTGTCACCCCTACTGGGACGCTCCCAACCTGAACTCTTAGAACTATTTTTACATTCAGATTCAGTTTCTCAAGTGTGTATGTGTTTGAACATACACAAGAGAGAAATTTGCATATTTCCACTATGCTAATTTTCTGCTTTGGGAGTGTAGTGAGTATCTTTCCATCAGTTCGTTGAAAATGACCTTTTCCCGTACTTCAGAGTCAGAAGTATAGTCCTTCCCAGGAAAAGTTAATGAAGGGTGTTACAGTGCTACTTCTACACAAATTAAGTGAATTCACTTCACAATAGATTTAATTTCTGACATTTCTATATGAATACATGTTCTGTTCTGCACAGGCAGGATAATTAAAGACAACCTCCTTTTCATTCATTGCTGTAGATGACACATAAGGAGCACGAGTGGATCATAGAATCATAGAATGGTTTGGGTTGGAAGGGACCTTAAAGATCATCTAGTTCCAATCCCCCTGCTACAGTAAGCGGATAATAACTATATCACAGTTTATCATAAAGTTTGTAATGTTGTTTTAAAAAACAACTCGAAACATAAATACCATAAGAAACCATGCATTCAACACGATGGTTACTTTATGGATAGGACATTATGAACAT